TGTCGCTGAGTGGGGAAAAGCGGTTGGAAACGTGAACAGGCTGGTGGTGAGCCGTGGGCTTCTGCTTGGAGCTGTGCTTCTGGCGAACCGTAACCCAACCTCCCGGCTGAACGGGAGTTACCGGAGGACAGTTAGCTGAGGCTAAGGCTATGCTATGTGGCTCCGCACCGGCTACAGGGGGCTGGCTAACTACCGCAGCTACTGAATGGTTTTCCATGGTGCGGAGCCGCGCTTCTAATTCACTAAGCCTCGCCTCCAACGCAGCAAATAAGCTACACTTATTACAATTACCACTGTCGCTAAAGGAGGCAGAGGCATAACTGAACATTTGGCACACCGAGCAGGAGAGAGCAGAGGGAGAAGCCATCGCTAACTGTAAAGCTAATGTAGCTACCAAGGCTAGTAACGTGCAAACAACAGCTAACTGTTAAGAGATTAGCGAGAAAGTCGTAGAAAGGAGGAGAGCTATAAGTGCTTAAATAGAACCAGTGTGGGTTATGACTTGAAGTAGACGTTAAAGCAACGTTAAAGCAACTGAGGTGAGAAAGCAGGCTAGCAGAATTCACCAGAGCAGTACAGAGACGCTGTCACAGAAACACCGGAAATGACACAACTCGCTTACCGCAATACGTCAGCACGTCCAGAGCGAGTGCAGAGTGTAACCTTATGCATTCACCTTGCATACACCATCAGTGTATTTGTGTATATAAATATGTATACTGTACTTGTGCATGTATGCAAATGTATTTATATGGGTGTGTAAATGTATGCTTATGTGTACACAGGCCAACCTCTATGTGTGTACTTTCGCAGAGGGTTTTCTGATTGTATTTTGATTGTGTAATACTGGCTGGTGGGGGCAGGCTAGGTTTGGGGAGCATTGTTGGAGTGTGCATGTGTGTGTCCTTGTGTTTATATGTTTGGTATTATGTTTTGTATTAACTTTCTATTATGTTTGTATTGTTTATGTTTGTCATTATTTGTGAGGACCCCCTCGAAAATGAGATGGCACATCTCAAGGGGCTATCCTTGAAATCAAGAATAAAGGAAGAATCAAGAATTCCTGCTAGAGATTCTTAACTCAGAACCATTAAGCATGGGACAGTAAAATGATATTTAGACTCTTGGTTGTTTTAGGATAAGATGAACTACATAATGAAAAAACAAATGAAAATAAGGCAAAAGTAAAAACAACTCGCTGAGATCCCATCCCTTTCCAGAACCCCCTCATGCCCTTCCCCAAACGAAGCGCATGCACAAAACACAAAGAGTTGTTAACTCTGGTTAAGCCTGATTTATGGTCCTGCGTTGAATCAACGACGTCGCTACGTCGTTGCCATGACACCGTCGTGAACCCTTCGAACTTCTCCGTCACTCCATTTCGTCGCGGTGCAATTCACCGCCAGAGCGGTCAGGGGCTGCGTTCCTTTCCTGAATGGTTATCGTCGTCTCTAGTTGATTCTTTGTTTAGCTTTTGGCTTTTCCAGTCACAGTGAACAATGGCGACCGAGAGAGAGAGAATCTTGCTGGAGTTGGAGTTGTTGGATGTCTTAGAAAGTATGTTAATACTGCAACATCTACATCACAACAGAAGGAGGAGGTATTATTAATAATAAGAAGTAGATGTTTCTGGAAATGCGGAACCAGAAATGTGTTGCTACCAAGCAAACCAATCACAGCCCTGCCGGTCTGCGCTGGGTCTGCGTTGCCTCGATGTGTAGTTACATTTTTGGGGAGGTGCACGTCAGGCTACGCCGGGGGCTACCGCGAGCCTTCTGCGTAGCCCCGTACCCTACGACGTAGCGACGTCGTTGATTCAACACAGGACCATAAATCAGGCTTTATGCAGAACGTTTGATCCACATTAAGAGGAGCAACATCATTTGAACACTGACACATACCTGTATAGGCTCACTAAATAATTGAAAAATTAGATCAACTGTGGGCTCAACTCACAGTAGTTCAAAAGGTAAGGTAAATTTAAGAGAAACATAATAATAAATG